GGGAAGGTGTTAGCAGTGTGAGAACGCAGCTCGAGCCCGGCTGAGCTGGTGGGATTAACGGCTTGTGCTCCCCAAAAGCGCCCGTGGGCATTTCCAGGCATCACGCAGCCGGCATGAGAAAACACAGTCACTGACAAATCCCCTGCCCCGGGGGATCAGAACCGGTACCGGGGGCGATGCCCTGCCCCTGCAGCCCCTGGGGAGGGGAGAGCCACCGACATTTACCGTTCATCTCGCAGCCGATGAGTTCAAAGCGCAGCGTGCAGGCACGGCGGCACATCACGGGGTAGATGCGGATGAACTGGGCAGTGATGGGCGGGTTGAACATGTTGGTCTGCATGGTGCCGTAGTCCACGTTCCCCTGGAAAACCTGCAACGGCGAGCAGGGCTGAGTGCCCCAGCCCTCCCGCAGCCTCGCGCATAACATCCCTCCCGCTCCAGCAACGCTCCCCAAACTGCGACAAGCTGAGAGGTGGCTTGCTTCTTTCTTTTTAACACAATAAATACAGTCAGGTGATGTTTTCCTGCATTTTTTCCACCGCTGCAGAAACAACAGGAACTTTTCTTTTTTCTAAAGCAAGGCAGATATTCCCAGCCACTCCCTGGATGCTCAAAAAACAACCACAAGACAATTTCCACATAAAACTGAGAGCGGAGAGTGCTGCCTTCGGCGACTATTCCTGCTTCAAGACAGAGGTACAGTGTCGGCTCGTGCTCGGTGCAGGCACAGCACTGAGCTGCGTAAGCCGTTCACTAGCACTTCCAGACCGTGCTCGGTTCCCACAGCGTGTCAGCCATACAGATGTTATCTGAATGACCTAAATAAGTCAGCGCCGCTTCTTTGGTTATGCTTATTATGGTCAATTAAACAGAGCCAGAGAGCACTGCCCGGCACTGGAACCGCCTGTGCCACCTCGCTGCTAGGATGGTTCCCACCGTGGCTTTGACCCAGGTTGCAAGCACTTCCCCAGACATGGGGACAGTTTGGGACGCAGCTCACAGCCCCCCCAGCGCCCACAGAACTTCTGGATGGGGGAAGCCAGCATGGCCCCCCCCGTGGAGCATCGCAGCCCACCTTGTCTGCGTCCTGCTTCTCGTCCTTGTAGAAGGTGAACTGTCGCCCATCCAGGCTGTAGGCGACTTTGTAGGCGCGGACATACTCCGGCTGGCCGACGCGGCGAGCGCCCTGCGTGATGATCCCGCTCAGCCGCATCTTCCGCAGCAGGTTGGCCTGGGGGAGGGGAGACGGGAGATGAGCATGAGCGGGGCGCAGCGCAGACAGGGTGCACAGCCCCTGCGCCCACCAGCACCACCAAGCCTGGATGGGAGGGTGGGCTCACACTCAGCATCGAGACTGGGAGAGGGGCTGCCCAGGGTGCTGTGTCTTCATTGGGGTGAAAGCCCTCCATCCCTCCATCCCTGCTTACCAGGGTGGGCAGAGAAGGGCAGATCACCCCCCAGGTCCCCATCTTCCCCCCAGGGACCTTGCCTTCTCCAGGCACATCACAAAATGCCCCTGGGTGGCACCCTGCTGCAGCAATTTAGCCCAGCATTTGCCACCAGGAGCAGAGAAATCCCATGAGAGCAGCCCTGCAAGACCAGCTGTGGCTGCCGAGGCTGCACAGTACACCAGCACACCCAGTCCCGCTGCGGGTACCTGGATCCAGGGGCTCTTGTCGTAGTTGCTGGAGGTCCAGGCGTTGACAATGCCGTGGTTGTTGAGGCGCGCGAGCTCTGGCCCCCAGCGCTGGAGGCCAAGGAAGCCATAATGGACAGAGGATGCCGAAAGCTGGGCATCAGAGATGGCTCCTCCTTCCATGCCGAGGAGAACAGCACAGCCTGGAAGCAGTGGGGACCAAAGAGAGACGGTGACCAGGGAGGAAAACCTGGGGGGTCCTTTGCATCTTGTCTAGGGACAGGGCAGAGGAAGGAGGAGCCATAGGACCTGGCTGTCCCCAAGATGTGTGTCCCCCTGCCTCAGCCAAAACCACACCATCCATCAGCCCCTCTCACAGCACAGAGGTCTGGGTAGGAAAAGAGCTGCTCTGACCCCTCCCCCAGAGAGGAGACATCACCTTCCTGGAGATTGTCCCTCCACCAGGACCAGGCCTGCTGGCACCAAGGGCAGCTGGCACACAGGCACCCATGGCTGCTCTCCAGATCCCCTAAACCCAGCTGGTGAGATCTCGCCTGGGCATGCCAGCAGTGGGGGACAGAGCAGTAGGGAACAGGGAGGGAAAGGGAATTCTGTACAGCTGGTGGCAGGGACTTACGGACGTGGCAGGTCTTCCCCAAGAATGGAGAAGGGCACTTGCAGGCGTAGTCACCATCCAGGTCCAGGCAGGTGCCTCCGTTTTTGCAAGGCTGGGAGTAGCACTCGTTCTTGTCTAGAAGACAGAGCGGGGAGGGTCAGAAGGTGACCCCAGAGCCAGTCCCAGGGAGGAGACCCCTCACTCGGCGCAGCGGGAAGAGGGGGAGGCATCCTCTGAGCAAGGGCCATGGCAGGGTCCCTGCTGATACGGTGGCATCGGTTGAAGCTCTAACCCAAGGAGATGCCTAAGCCATGTCCCCACTGACTGCAGCCACGTGGCAGCATGGGGACACGCAGCCACAGCAAGGCTGAGAGCCTGCATCGAGCAGGCTGAACTTCAAGGCACCCCTTGTTCCACTACTCAAGGCACCATGACCCTCCAGAGGTGCAGAGCAAGGCTCAGGCACAGCCATGTCCCCATGCCATGGTCCTTCCTCTACCCCGCAAGGTCCAAACCAGCCCGTGGTCCCCAACAGAGCCTAGCGCCCAACGCAGCCACAGCTGCAAACACCCCCCAGTTGTCCTCCCCATTGCTGCCTGCGGGGTCCCCAAGCCCTTAGCGGCAGAGCAGCCCCCCAGCCCTCTCGATCCCCCTGTACTCACTGTTCTGGCAGTGCACCCCATCATACCCCGCGGGGCACTTGCAGATGTAGTCGGTGAAGACATCCCCCCGGTTCGGGACCAGCTGGCACTCGCCGTTGTTGTGGCAAGGATTGGGGTGGCATGGGCCTGGGGAAGGGGAAAGGGGGGGAAAATGGCTTTAATAGGGCACAGGTGGAGAATAAGAGCACTGAGTGGGCTGTTGCTGCCCAAAGACGTCGCGTTTCCCCCAAGTGATGGAGGTCACCACACTCTTCCCCGAGTCTCTGTTCTATGTGCCCCTCAGCAGGGCTGGACCCCAGGGCCAGCGGTGCAGGGCCACGACGAGGGCACGCTGCCATGCTGCGAGATTCCTGGACTTCACAGGGCCTCCGTGCTGGTGTCAGCACCTCACCTTTCTCCGTCTCGTTGCAGTCAATCCCAACATAGCCCTCTGGGCAGATGCAGAAGAAGGGGGTCTCATTAATCCCCGTCAGGCAAGTGCCCCCATTCTGACAGTGGTTTACATCGCAGAAGTCACCTGGAAGAAAAGCCACATGTCACTGCAGGCCATCCCCACAGTGGGCATCTGCCCCAGCCCTGCAGATGCACAGAGGCACCCTCGACAGCAGGAGCTGCTCCCCTGCGGATGCCGCGGGGAGGGGAGCACCCAGCAGGACCAGCTGCCAGATCCCGTGCGGGACCACCGGCGTTCAAGAGCGATGGTTGAGACCAGGAGCATGAGAGGACCTGTGCTGCCCTGGCACGTTAAAAAAGGGGTTTAACAGAGCCCGCATGTCAAACCAAAGCCAGGGGAAAACCTGGTCTGTGATGCATCAAGTGTATGCGCTGCTGAGCTGGAAGCGGAGCGGCCAGGCTGGGGCTCGCTCAGGCACGAGCAGGACAGGATTATTCAAGCGAATGGGGCTGGTCCCGTGGCTGGGTTCTGAGAACGAAAGTCTGTACTTGTAACACTGAAAAAAAATCATTGTAGGGGGAGCCCACATGCCTCGGTTCTCAGATGTTGGAGACAC